CTCCTTATGCCTATTAGCTCTTCTTCGTTGCCGGGCATCCAGGAACCACTCCCTTGTCTCCTCCCCACTGGTCCAAGGCTCAGGCGCCTCCTGGTGGCCAACCAGCCTCTCTGCACCCTGCTCGGAGTCGGAACCCTGTCCGGGGTCCTCCACATCCTCCAAAGCCAATTCATAGGGCCTGGTGGCAGCTCCAATGGCTCCTGCTGGGCCGCAACACTATCCATTCAGTTGTGTCTGACTCTTGGCAATTCTATGGGCCAGGTCTCTCCATATCTTCTGATCTTGCATTACTTGAGTTTTTCTATGCTCTGGCTGGTGTCAGCCACCATGTTCTTTGATGGCCTGGTTTCTTTTTACCACTAACTCTTCCAAACATAATTGCTTTCTCCAGTGATTTCCCTCGCATGACATGGCCAAAATAAGTGAGATGCAGTAGACATGCAAACACGAGATATTCAACAGTATACATGAGATAAAGTCACAAGTCAACAAGACAAAGTAATGAACAGAACACTGTAATGCATTCAGTGTATAAGACGCACCCAGATTTTCAGCCTTCAGATTTTTTGAGGGAAAAAAGTGCGTCTTATAATCCAAAAAATACAGTAGACTTAGATACTCCTTTACAGTGCTTTACAGCCCTTGATCTTCTCCTCTCTCTCCTCCTCTCCTCCTCCATCTCTTCTTTCTTCTGGACATGTATACACAAAGCCCAAGGGGTGGGAACTTGAACCATGATGCTCCACCCATCACCTTCCCCATTTTCACTGCTTCCTACCAATGCCACTGGTTGGATCTTGTGCCCATACCTCTGGGTTCTAGTGCCAGGCCTCAATTCAAAAGATTCAAAGCCACTTCAGATGCTGCACTGTGAATTTCTTTTGAAAAGAAAAATCCCAAGACCGTTAATCCCAATCCCACCCAATATTATGAAATTCCCCAGTATTTATAGTTTAATCACATTAGTATCTATAGACTATCCAGTGTAAACCGAGCTTACATAATGATTACCAGCCAATGTAATATGCGGAGAAGCAGAGAGAGATGAAAGAAGCTTATAGCCCTCTAAACTGTAAGAAGGGGGAGAAGCACTAATGCGAGATAATGACATAACTGGAGAGGACTATCAGAAACTGCACCCTCTGTACACAATCTGTACTCTGCTTAACGATTTTTCTCAGAGACTGAAAGGGAAAAAGCAACCAGCTGCTCATTAATAAAACACATCAGGTTTAAACAGAAACCTGTGTTTATCTCATTAGCTACTTCTGTGTTGGAGGGAAGCATAAATACTCCAGGCTTCCTGCTTTATTTCTGATCATTGTTTGCTCTAGTAGGTTTTTCTGGCTTCCAAAATGTTGAAATGTTTAAACTAGGCTCCCAGCTGGTAGAGCTGTAAGCCATGTAAAGAGCACGGAGGAGCTTTCCAGCTAATTGCACACACTGATAAGCTAGGCAAACCCTTGCTCCCTAACTTTATTTTAAGGTACTGCACCATATATGTTAATTTTGCAATGGGGCAATGGAGGAAAGAAACCAACCTATTACATTCTCATAGCTTTTGAAGGGTAGCTAGAGGAATGAGGGAAATAATAGGGTAAACCAATGGAAACAGCCGGGGTGGGATTCAGACGGTTTGGAATGGTTCAAGCGGACTGGTTTGCTCCGACAATCAGGTGGGCCTGACCTCCTGCCCCTGTTCCAGTGGTGGGTTTCAAAAATTGTTCGAACCTACTATGTGGGTGTGGCCTCCTTTGTGGGAGTGGCTTGCTGCCCATGTGACCGGATGGGAGTGGC